AAAGCTGTGAAGAACAGGGACAGATTAAATAAGGTCATGAAGCAACTACACAGTCATAGATATGATCAGTATTATGAGTAGAATGATGGTTTCAGTTTCATGCACACATCAAGATTTATAAAACAGTATATTTAACATATAATTTACTCATTACAGCTGTTATAAAATGGCTCAAGATAAAAGAAATGTACATTCACCTATTTTGTAACAGGTTTTTCAACTCTACATTCAATCCACATTCTTTTGCCCTCAGGGCAAGTCTCATTTCATAGACAGAAAATGTAACAAACGATGAAGTACTTTCACCCAAACCAGTGGTCGTCAAACTCATTAGTCAACAGAGCCAAATATCAACAGTACTTCTTCAAAATAGACTCGCCTAGGCCGAAAACTGACTTCAGTGCATGCGCCAGGAAGTTTCAATCGCACTGTACGTGCACGCCCCCATGTGGTATTTTGTGGAAGAGCCACACTCAAGGGGCCAAAGAGCCGCATGTGGCTCGCGAGCAGCGGTTTGCCAACCACGGGTCACTCTAACCTTTTGCGGAATCTGGGCAAGGGCTGATGCAATCACATTGGCTCTTTCTTCTGATATGTTCCTGACCATTGATCCCAAAGTAAACACGACAATACCATGTTTTCCAGAGCTCTGGACAAACTCTTCCATCTCCTGTTAAAAAAAAAAAAAAAAAAAAAATTGCTCCATCACAAAAGAGTAATAGCATAGCAAATGCCATTGAAAGGAATGCTTTCAAACAACTAATGAGAGAAATCAAGTATTATCTGGAGTTATGAGTACTTCTTTTTTTTTTTTACAAGTTGTGCTAAAATATACATAACATAATATTTACCATCTTAACAGTTCCTAAGTGCACAATTCAGTAATACATATATTCACATTATTGTACAACCAAGCTATAGAACTTCTTCATCTGGCAAAAGTGCAACTGTACCTGTTACGCAATAATTCCCTCATCACTGGTCCCTGGTAACCATGATTTTATTTTCTGTTTCTATTAATTAAACCAGTCTGGATACATAATATAAGTGGAATCATGTGGTATTTGCATTTTGTCAGTGGCTCACTTCATTTAACACGATATTCTCAGGCTCCATCCATGTTATAGCATGTGTTAGAATTTCCTTCAGTTTAAGGCTGAGTAAAATTGCATTGTATGTAAATACTGCATTTTGTTTATTGATTCTTCCGTCAGTGGGCTCTTATGTTGCTTCCACTTTTGAGTTGTGAACAGTGCTGCTATGAATTTGGATGTGAAAATATTTTATTGAGATCATGATTTTAATTCTTTTGGATATATACCAAAAACTGGAATTGCTGGACCTTAAGGTAATCCTACTCTTATTTTTTGGGAAAATCTCCATTGTTTTCAGTACTTGCTTTTTTTTTTTTTTTTAACAGACTCAATATTTCAATTCCCATGGAAAGATGCATGTTATATGAGATTGATTTCCTTTATCAGGTATATC